AGCAGAGGACTCAAAGGTAGGGTCAGTGACAATAGTGGCAAGGAGACGCGCGACAGTAGGACTGGCAGCACGAGTAAGGTCTGACGGCGGGTCCGCAACGTCAGGAAGAGAGGACGCAGGAGGAGACGGCAGAGGGACACGCTGTGGAGAAGTGGAAGGACGCAGGGTCATATAGTGAGTGCCAAGGACAGGAGGAGGACGCTCACGCGGAACACGACGACCAGTGCGGGCAGCGCGGACAGGCGACTCTGGACGAGACTCAGGAGACGCAGGACTAGACTCAGGCGACGGAGGACGAGACTCAGGCTCACGACGCTCCGTAAGACTACCCGTCGGCGCAGTGTAAGGAGAAGGAGCAGGCAGCGGAGAGGCAGGCTGTAACTGTGACTGCGACTGGACAGACGGGGGACTCAGTAGGGGAGGAGTAGGACCAATAGAGGGCGGGAGACCAAGAACCTGCTGAAGGAGCGGAACGTAGTACGGCCGCGGCCGCTCAGCACCTCCAGCTCCAACCCCCTCAGCAGCTCCAGTCCCAGCAGCTCCAGCACCAGCACCTCCAGCAGCTCCAGCAGCACCGCCAGCAGCAGCAGTGCCTCCAGCAGCTCCAGCACCAGCAGCACCTCCAGCAGCGCCAGCAGCACCGCCAGCAGCAGCAGCACCTCCAGCAGCGCCAGCAGTACCGCCAGCAGCAGCAGCAGCACCAGCACCAGTAGCACCTCCAGCAGCGCCAGCAGCACCGCCAGCAGCAGCAGCACCTCCAGCAGCTCCAGCAGCACCAGCACCAGCAGCACCTCCAGCAGCGCCAGCAGCACCGCCAGCAGCAGCAGCACCTCCAGCAGCTCCAGCACTAGGGTCCTCGACACGAGGAGCGCCACTCCGGAGACTGCAGCGCCGAGCGTACCACTCTCGGAGCCGCTGGGGAGAGGGCGGCTCCCGCCTAGGAGGGGAAGCACGAGCACCAGCTCCAGCAGCACTCCTAGCTCCAGAAGCACCCCTCCTGAGGCTGCAGTACTGTAAGTACCACTCACGCAGCTGCTGTGAGGAGAGAGCTCCTCCAGGTGTAGCACGCTCAGTCGCAGCACCCTCTGGCTCAGAACCCTCAGACTTAGCACCCCCAGGCTCAGCACCCGCAGACTCCGCACCCCCAGACTCAGCACCCGCAGGCTCCGCACCTCCAGGCTCAGCACCCCCAGACTCCGCAACCCCAGGCTCCGCACGCTCAGGCTCAGCACCCCTAGCAGGACGAGAGTCGACAGCTACCTCGACAGGCTCAACAGGGTCTACCTGGGACACACCTGAGGGAGCGGCACCCTGAGGGGGGAGGGGGTCTACCACAGCAGCACCTGGCGCGAGGAAGAGAGGCGGGGGGGGGAGCGGGGCAGTGCGGTAGGGGAAGAGGCGGTAGTAGGGCACCGACTCGTCAAAGGTGACGTCCTGAGAGGGCAGGACACGTCGCGAGGTGGCGTGGTAAAACTGCCAACCAGACGCGTCCGGGACAAAGCCAAGGAAGACACAAGGAACAGCGCGGGAGGAGAGCTTGTCCGCGGACGTATCGCGAACAGAAGCTCGAGATCCCCAGACCCGAAAACGCGACGCATCGCCAACCTCTCCCGTCCAACGCAGTGTCGGCGAAGTCTCCAGAACGGAGACACGGGGCCAGAGGTTGAGCTGATGCGCAGCGTATCGGACCGCAAACGGCCACAGAAAGTGGGGGGCAGCCGCATGGATCAAGGAGGTACGAGCGACCTCCATGACCAAGCCAATGCGGCGCTCAGCAACCCCATTCTGCTGTGGAGAGGCCGGAAGCGTGAACGACTGGCGGATGCCGTGCTCCGCACAGTAGGCTGCCAAGAGGTCGGAGGAGAACTCACCACCTCTGTCAGAGTGCAGACGCAGGACAGGAAAGTCCGAGTGGAACCGCTCGCTGAGCTGGAGACGAGAAGTGCGGATCCAAGGGATCAAAACATCAGGGACCTCACCCTTGGTGCGCAAGGGGAAGACCGTGGTGTAGCGCGAGCAGTCGTCAACAACAATCAGGAAGTACCTCTCCTGACCCTGTCCACGGACGCGGGCTGGGCCCCACACGTCCATGTGGAGCGTCTGCAAGGGAGCAGTCGTCGGGGGAAACGAGGAGGAGTGAGGAGCGGCGCGCTGCCGCCCCTCGACACAAGGAAGACAGGGAGGAGCAGGCGAGGGTGGGAGGGGAGGGAGTACCCGGGGAAGACCAGAGACAAGGTACCGTTTGTGCATGGCACGAAGGCGCTGCACTGACGGGTGACGAAGGCGGTGGTGCCAGAGGACGGTCTCGTGTGCTAGAGAGCGACACGAGCAGGGGGCAGACAGCTGACCTGAAGCAGACGCAGACGCAGCTACATGAGGGGACTCAGTGGTCAGTGTGTACAGGTCCGACCCCGGCTGCCGAGTGAAGGTAGCCAGGTGACGGCCCGTCCGAGCACACGTGCAGTGTGTCACGCGCTCGTAGGCAGGGGTGAACTGGTGGACACCCCCGTCCTGGAGCGCACAACCCGCCACCAAGTTCGTAGAGAATGAGGGGAGGTGGAGACCTGACAGTGTGCCCGACGGAACCGCAGGACAAGGAAGGACAGTGGAGGAGGTCGCAATGACCGGACCCCCAGAGGGGTCAGCAAGAGAGACAGCAACTGGCCGAGCAAGCCGCTCAAGGGCAGTGCGGTCACGAAAGAAACAGCGAGAAGCACCTGAGTCCAGTGTGAAGGTGTGCAGTGCCTCAGTAGACTCAGTACCAGGGGGGGCAGACTCACTAGCACCTAGTGCAGCAGACACGCTAGTACCTGGAGCGGCAGCCTCACCAGCACCTAGGGCAACAGACGCACTAGCACCTAGAGCGGCAGCCTCACTGGTCCGAATGCCCGGGTCGGGCGGAACACGCAGGTACTGAGCACCCTCTCCACTAGTAGACAATACATACATGGCAGTGAGAATAGCATCAAAGTCAAGAGCATAGATATCAATGTTCTTCCTCATCAGATCAGCCCAGCGGGGCAGCTCAGTGGCAGCAGGGAACTGAGTGCGCCAAGCATCGTCGAGGCGGGAGAAGCAGCGCTGCGCGGTGTGCGCCCTCCCACACGTCTGGCCAGTGCGGTCACCAGTGCGGATGACGTACGTGCAGCTAAGGCCACCCCCCCCCCCCGTGCTGAGAGTACCACTCACGAAGCTCCTGGGGCGACGGAGTCTGCTGTCCGCCAGCGCCACCACGACCACCACCTCCGCTGCCACCACCTCGACCACCACCGCCCCTGCCGCCGCCGCGTCCACCGCCGCCCCCACCACCGCCCCCACCCCGGCCACCTCCTCCGCCGCTGCCGCCACCACCCCCACCGCTGCCACTAGCCCCTCCAGCCCCGCCACCGCCCCCACCGCCGCCACCGCCCCCACTACCGCCTCCCCCTCCGTCACCTCCACCTCCCTTGCCCCCTTTGCCTTTGCCGCTGCGGCGCCAGCTCGGAGCGGACGCAGTCCCGACCTGCTCAGTACCAACTAGGTCGACAGCAGCAGCAGAGGCGACAGAGGGGAGAAGTGGGGAAGGGGAACACCCCTCGAAGAAAGGGGTGCGGGGGTCGCCACGAGAGGCAGCTACAGCGACTATGCTAGTCTCAGCTGCAAGCAGTTCCTTCTCGAGCAGGTCAACGGTGAGCTCAGTGGGGCAGCGAGCGAGGAAGTGGTCCCTGACTGCACGAAGAGAGTCAGGGAGACGGGTGACTAGGTGGTAGAGAGTAAGCCAGAGTGGGGGGGGGGTGCGTGGCAAGAAACTCAGCGGGCATAGCGGCACGGAAGCGGGCCTCACTAGTGCGGAGGTGCGTGATGAGGTCAGCGACTGTGGCGAAAGCGGACAGGTCTGGGAACAGGTAGGGGAGCGAGAGACGGCCTAGCGCAGCAGAGGCAGGTGAGGAGTAGCGTGCAACTACAGCAGTGTACAGTGCCTGCGCAGTTTTGTGCTGGCCAAAGTGCTCGTGCTCATCTACCGGCAGGGAGTTGCGAATAGCGAAGCGAGCGTGGGCGTCACGAGTCTGCCACTGTGAGCGGGCAGTACTGTCAGCAGTAGCAGCAGGGGCAGCAGCGTGGCCTAGTGCGTGATCGTACAGCGAGATATCCTCCTTGGCAGTGAGCTGGAGGAACAGGTGCAGGTCATCTAGCCAGGTGTCAAACTTCAGCGGGCGGCCCTCAGCATCGAAAGCGAGTACAGCAGGGCTAGCCATAGTTGTAGGAAGAGCAGTAGCAGTAGTAGCAGTGACAGCAGTAGTGCGCGGCTCGGTAGGGCGGCGCGGCTCGGTAGGGCGGCGCGGCTCGGGCCGGGCGATTCGGTTCGGTGGGGCGGCTCGGCTCGGCTAGGCGGCGGCTACTCGAGGTGGGGCACGCGAGGGCGTGCAGGGCAGAGCGGGACCGGTCCGCGTGGGGCACGAATGGCGAGCTAGCGGGGCGGGGCCTGGTCGCACGGGGCACGCAAGGGCGAGCTAGGGGGGGCGGGGCCTGGTCGCACGTCGCACGGAAGAGCGGGCTAGCGGGGCGGGGCCGGTACGCGAGGGGCACGCAAGGGCGCGCGGGTGGGTGTGGGCCGGTCGCACGGGGCACGCAAGGGCGCGCGCTAAGGGGCGGGGCCGGTCCGTAAGAGGCGCGCAAGGGCGCGCAGGAGTGAGGGAGAGAGTGAGGCGCTCGAGGGCGCGACTAGGCGAGGCGCGTTAGGGCGCGACTAAGCGGAAACGGTGGGCCCATATCATTCGGTCCTAGGTTACGACCTAGGCTCGCGATACCATGTTAGAAACTAAGAACGAACGAGAATGAATGAACTAGCAGAAAGTTGGGTACAAGTAGGAAACCCTAAGTTTGTTGTACCCCCTAAGGCTAAACCCACTATAGCCTATACAATGTAAACATATAATGTTTGACATCACTCCCGTTAGCAGCAGGACGCGAAGCGTAAGCCACATGTCACCATGCTCCCAGCCATGAATCCAGTTAGCAGAATGTCGCGAAGCGTATGCCACACGAAGCCGTGCCCCCATGCACGAATCCTGCTAGCACAAGGTCGCGGGGAATATCATGCTTTACAACACCGCTCCCTTGGCCGCGAATTTCGCCAGCAGCATATAGCGTAGCGACTGCTCCACGTTACCGTGCCCACAGGCGCGATTCCGGGTTTGAACGCGTCGTGAAGGGTCTGTTTCCACGCCGCGATTCTTGCTCGGAGCAGGAACTGAAGTGTACGGTTGTAATTTCGCACCCAACGCCGCGACTCACGCTAGGAGCAGGAAGTGTAGTGTACGTTTCCTCATTACCGCGCGCACAGCCGGATTCCTTGCTAGGATCAGGAACTGCAGTTAGGTTGTGCAGCCGGCGAGTACTGTGCTAGAAGGTGTGCGCCGTCGCAGTCGTAGCCGTGGTAGGACTACTCAACGAGGGCGCCTCGCCACCTTATCGCCACATCACCGCCACATCGTCGCCTAGCCACCTCGCCTCCTCGTTGCCACCTACTGCATCGCTCCTCACTGCCCTCGCTTCCACTGCCGCCTCGTCGCATTCAGGGACGAAATTGGCTGTCCTTCCCTTGTCCCCACTGTCCTCCCTGTCCGCCTCTCTAATTAGCGTCTCCCTTGTCCCACTCTCTCCCCTTCTGCCCCCGACTCTCCCCCCTATCCTCCTCTTTCCCCCTGTCCTCTCCCCCCTGCCCTCCCTTCTCCCCCCTGTCCTCCGCTCTCCCCACCTGTCCTCTCCCCCCTGTCCTCCGCTCTCTCCCCCTGTCCTCTCCCCCTTGTCGTCCTCTCTTCCCTCTGTCATGTCCTCCTCTAACCCCCTCCTCGTCCTTTCTCCCCCCTGTCCTCCTTTCCCCCCCTGTCGTCCTCTCTCCCAACTATCCTCCTCTCTCCCCCCTGCTCTCCTCTTTCCACCCTATCCTCCTCTCAATGCTACCCTCCCCGTCACATCCTGTCGCGTCCATTCCCATACTTGTATTCCCATCCCCCTCTCTCCCCTACCCTTCCCATTCCTGTAATATTTGTCCCACACTACAAAACCCCCGATCGCTATGTTTTCACCCCTCGCTCCTGCTCTTCTATTCTCTCACCCCCCGGGTCGCACCTCCCCATTCCCCCATGTCGCACCTCCCCTTCCCCCCAGGTCGCACCTCCCCTTCCCCCCAGATCGCCCCTCCCCCAGGTCGCACCTCCCCATTCCCCCCAGGTCGCTCCTTCCCTTTCCCCCAGGTCGCACTTCCCCTTTCCCCCAGGCCGCACTTCCCCTTTCATCCCAGGTCGCACTTCCCCTTTCACCCAGGTTGCACCTCCCTGTTCCCCCCTTCACAGAGCACCTTCTCACTCCCTCAAAATGCACTACCCCTTCCTTCTCTTTGCTTCCATTCTGCTCCAATGCCTTCTATTCCCTTCGCTTCCCTTTCCTCCCCCCCCCCTTCTTGATATCCTCCCTGCACTTCCCTTCCCCTCTCCTCCCTTCCCTTTCCTTCCCTTCTTTTGCCCTCCCTGCACTTTTACCTTCCTATGCCCCACCGTCTTTCAGAACCCGTCCAATTTCAAAGGTCCACGTGGCTTCCTCCTGTTGCAACCGTCCGATTCTCTAGATGCGCAGGTCAACGGCTACGTGGCTAACTCAGGTTGGCTCACTACCAAATATTAGTTACTGAATGCTCGTCAACGGCTACGTGGCTAACTCAGGTTGGCTCACTACCAAATATTAGTTACTGTATGCTCATCTAGGGAGTTACTATCTAGGGCCTCCTCCTCAAATGTCTGCCATTCTTCAGACCCCAGTTGTCTCTTGAACTCCCTGCATTCACATCTTCTGTCTTTCGTGTCTGCCCCAGTCCTTGCCTCCCTGCGTTCATATCTTCTGCCGTCCCTCCCATCCTCTAACCTCTGCCAGATCTACCTGCCCATGTCCTCACCTCCATGCATCTGCACGCTGATTCCGCTCTCTCTGTTCACTCCCTCACTTGGTCACCGACTGTCCTGCTATACCCTGCCAGATCTCCATTTCCTTCCTTAGCCTTCCCCTCCCCCTCCCCGCTTTCCTCCCTAGAGATTCATGATCCCATGGGTCCACCTTCCCCCTCCTCGTATAGCCTAGCACGTTGCCCCGCACCCCGTACCCCATAGCACGCCGTCGCCCCCAGCCCCACGCCTCGTGTCCTGTAGCCCGCCGTCCGCCCGTAGCCCTACGCCCCGTGCCCCGTATCCCGCCGTCCGCGCCCCGCTCGCCGTCACCCGGAGCCCCGTAGCCCGTACGCCGCCCTCACGAATCCCGATACGGCCTTCCCGCGACCCGCGCGTCGCCCCCCAAGAGCCCGTCGCATCGCACGCAGGAAGCCCCCCCTGAGGGCCTCGCCACCCTGCCTGCCCATAGCCCCACCGCCCTGCTGCTCTTGAAGCGTGCCAGCATCATATACCAGCAGACAACTTTCGCCGCCCATTTTGGAGGTTGGAAAAAACCGAGCCGCCAAACTTGGCCGACGACCTCCCGTTGGCCTGCGAGCGGCAAAGTGGCACGGGAACCCTCAGAATCGTCGACCCACCGTCGATCTCGGTTTCCGTTGAGACATTCCCGAGGGGTATATCTCAACACCTGCCTAGGTGCCAGCTCAACACTTCACGCACGGATGACCGACACGCAACGGAAGGCGTACGACCTGGATCCTGTCCAACATACCAGGAATGTCGGCGCCCTCTACGCGTCCCACCAGGAGTCCACGTGTCACACAACCTGACGGCTTTTGTTGGGAAACGTCACTGTTAGACATGCGGCATACATCGACCGCCTACAATAGCGTACATGTGTTGAAAATCGGCGGCTCTGCGTTTGCGCGTGAAAATGAGTGCGTGGAAAGGAAATGTCGGCGTTAGACACACGTCGTACATCGACCGCCTAGCAGGAATGTCGGCGTCCATCAAGCGGTCACATAACGTCCACGCATCATACATCAACGACATGGTGCTGCGCGGGAACCAGGTCGTGCGGATAGTGAATGTCGGTGCCCGCCACCCGGCGAACATCGACCAATCCGAACAGTGCTCAGGTGTCATAAATCCACGGAAAAATGTTTGCACGGGAAGACGTACGCGTGACTAGGGGAATGTCAACGCCGACTCGTCGTTCAGATATTTAACGTGACACTCGGCACTAATCTACAGCCAACAAAAAGGAACGGGAAGTCGGCATTCTGGCATCTCAGGGGAGCATACCAATGTCGGGCCCACACCACGGCGATCACTGTCATCCACTGTGGAATCGCGCTGGATCAAGCATACGGAGGGCAGAACGGCGTAGAATTGGCCACGCATTGCTCGTGGCACGTCTGACACTGCGCCGCCAAACGAGGAGCCATGCATGAAGCCAAGTGCAAAGGGGTTTTCATGGACCGCGGCAGGTGCGGAGCTGCGCATGTCCATTACCGCTCCGTTGCCACCTGCCAGTCGCCATTCTGTCATTCATTTTTCTCTTCGCACGGTTCACAGCCCTCGGACGCCGACTATTCTGCCTCGTCGGCTTTATTTTCATCTAGATATGAAGCATCGACGTAGGTAGGACGTCGACCATTTTGCCCCCGCCATCATCATATTGCGACGACGTAGCTAGGACGCGGTCTCGTCGGCCTAGTAATTGTCAAACTTATATGCTGCATGTTGTGTAGGCTTTAGTGGGTTAGCCCATATGGGGTACAACCCAATTAGGGTTTGCTACTTGTACTCCTGCATGCTGCTAGTTCAATCCATTCTCGTTAATTATTCTGACATGGTATCAGAGCAGGTCCTGACCTAGGACCGTTTTTTTAGGGCCCACCGAATTGTTCCCTGCCCGTAGCGCGTTACCCTGCCCGTAGCGCCCTACCGTGTTCGTCGCACTGCCCCACCAGTCGCGTTACCCTGCCCGCGCGCCGCCCTGCTGGCTGCCGCGCTGCCTTGCCCTGCCCTGCGTTGCGCTGCCCGCGCACGCCCTGCCCTGCCCCGTGCGCCTGCCCTGCTCCGCGCTGTTGCCCTGCACGCGCGGCTGCCCTGCTCTGCTCCGCGCTGTTGCCCTACACGCGCGGCTGCCCTGCTTTGCTCCGCGCTGTTGCCCTGCACGCACGGCTGCCCTGCCCTGCTCCACGCTGTTGCCGTGCACGCACGGCTGCCCTGCCCTGCTCCGCGCTGCCCTGCCCTGCACGCGCGGCTGCCCTGTCCTGCTCCGCGCTGTTGCCCTGCACACGCGGCTGCCCTGCCCTGCCCACACGCGTGAGCCCTGCCCCGTGCACGCCCTGCCCTGCGTTGCGCTGCCCGCGCACGCCCTGCCCTGCCCCGAGTCGCGCCGCCCTGCGCACGCCCTGCCCGTCGCGTCGCGCGCACCTGCTGCCCGTCGCGTCGCGCGCCCCTGCTGCTCGTCGCGCTGTGCGCCCCTGCTGCCAGTCGCGTCATGTCGCCCGTGCGCCCCTGCTGCCCTGTTGCGTCGCTCGTGCGGGCTGCCCCAGCCTGTCGCGTCGCCCGTCCGCCCTGCCTCTGCCCGTCGTGTCGCCCGTGGATATCTTTGCTCTTGACTATGATGCTATCCTCACTGCCATGTATGCATTGACTGTTAGTGATGAGGGTGACTGTTATCTGTGTGTGCCGCCCGACCCAGGTATAGAGGCTGCTGCTCTAGGTGCTAGTAAGTCTGCTGCTCTAGGTGGTAGTGAGTCTGCTCTCTCTGGTACTGCGCCTGCTGCGGCCTTGCACACCTTCACGCCTCACTCAAATGCTTCCCGCTGTTTCTCTCACAACAGTACCACAGTCACACTACTCCCTGCACTTGTTGCAGTCTCTCTGGCTGACCACTCTAGGGTCCCAGTTCTTGCACGTTCCTCCACTGTTCTCCCGTGTCCGGCGGTTCCGTCTGGCTCACTGTCAGGTCTTCACCTCCCCTCGTTCTCTACGAACTTGGTGATCAACGCCGTCCTTCAGGATGAATGGGTTGATACCTTCACCCCTGGCGGCCAGCGTGTGGCGATCTGTACGTGCTCCCGGACTGGTCGTCACCTGGCCACGTTCACTCGTCGGCCTGGGTCGAGTCTGTACACACTGACTACTGAGCCTCCCCAGGTAGCTGCGTCTGCGTCAGGTCAGCTAGCGGCCCCCTGCTCGTGTCGCGCCCTGTCACACCGGACGCTCCTTTGGCACCACCACCTTGGTCACCCCTCCGTGCCACGCCTCCGTGGCATGCACTCCCGTCTCCTTGTCTCTGGTCTTCCCAGGACTCTGCCTCCCCTCCCACCCTCGCATGCCCCTCCTTGCCTTCCCTGTGTCGAGGGGCGGCAGCGCGCCGCTCCTCACTCCTCCTCGTTTCCCCCGACGACTGCTCCCCTGCAGACTCTCCACATGGACGTGTGGGGCCCAGCCCGCGTCCGTGGACAGGGCCGCGAGCGCTACTTTCTGCTGGTTGTTGACGACGACTCGCGATACACCATGGTCTTCCCCTTCCGCAGCTGGAGGTGCTGGAGGTGCTGGAGCCGCTGGTCCCGGAGGTGCTCGTACTGGAGGTACTGGAGCTGCTGGAGCTGGAGGTGCTGCAGGCGTTGGAGTCGGAGGCACTGGAGCTGGAGCTGGTGGTGCTGCTGGAGTTGGAGATGGAGACCCTGGAGCTGGAGGTGCTGGCACTGGGGGTGCTAGTGCTGTCTGTGCTGGTTCTGGAGGTACTGTGCGGCCGCGACCGTACTTCGTTCCACTGCTTCAGCAGGTTCCTGGTCTCCCGTCCTCTACTGGCCTTACTCCTCCCTTACTGTGTCCACCGCCTGACCAGATGTTGTCGTAGTTACAGCCAGCCTCCCCACTGCCTGCTCCTTCTCATTACACTGAGCAGACAGGAGGTCTTACAGAGCGTCGTGAGCCTGCGTCTCATCCTGCGTCACCTGTTCGCGCTGTTCGCACTGGTCGTCGTGTTCCGCGTCAGCGTCCTCCTCCTGTCCCCGGCACGCACCAGATGGCACTTCGTCCTTCCTCTGGTCCACAGGGTGTCCCTCTGCCATCTCCTCCTGCGTCCTCTCTTCCTGATGTTCCTGACCCGCCCTCAGACCTTGCTCGTGCTGCCAGTCCTACTGTCACACGTCTCCTGGCCACTGTTGTCACTGACCCTTCGTTTGACTCCACTGCTGCGTCTGCCCTAGTTGCTGAGCTTGTTGAATTTGCAGCCGCCTGTCGCCTCGACTACGCCGCTACTCTTGTTGCTGAGTATGAGTCTGTCTGTCCTCCATCCGTCGGGGGTGAGTGTGCTCTTGGCACGGACGTCCTTGAGCACAGGCAGGAGGACTTTGAGTGTTTTGCAGCTGCTGTACCTCATCTCGTGTCCATGTTAATTGCACCTGAGGGAGACCCGGATGCACCAGACATCTCGACCCCGCGCTCTTACGCAGAGGCGATTGAGGGTCCCTATTCCTCTCAGTGGCAGACAGCCATGGACTCAGAGATGGTATCCTGGAAGTCCACAGGAACTTACGTCGACGAGGTTCCCCCACCTGGGCCGAACATAGTCGATGGCATGTGGATTTTCAGGGTGAAGCGGCCGCCGGGTTCTCCGCCAGTCTTCCAGGCGCGTTACGTTGCACGAGGCTTCAGTCAGCGACAGGGAGTTGACTTCTTCCAGACCTTCTCCCCTACCCCAAAGATGACCACTCTTCGGGTGCTGCTGCACGTCGCCGCTCAGCACAACTTTCTTATAGGGCAGCCTGCACGAGGAGATCTGGCTGCGCCGCCCACCTGGCTTCACTGGGTCGTTTCCTGCAGGTACCCAGTGGTGCCTCAGGCGGCCTGTCCACAGTCTCCGCCAGGCGCCTCGCGAGTGGCACGACACACTGAGGACGACGCTTGCGGCTCTTGCGTTTGCTCCTTCGACTGCTGACCCGTCGCTGTTTCTACGCACCGACACTTCGCTGCCGCCGTTCTACATCCTCGTGTACGTCGACGACTTGGTTTTTGCCACTGCTGACACTGAGGGACTGGCCCTAGTGAAGTCGGAGCTGCAGAAGAGACACACGTGCACAGATG